TATTGAACTGGAATATAGAGCAGCAAGTCAGTAACTGTCTCTATGGCACAAGAAGAACCAGCAACCACAAGAAGAAAAACAGCACAATATAAAGGGAGGAAAGTACATGAGGGACAGGTGAGACCAATTACAGAAACGAGGACAAGACAAGGCCTAAACAAGTGGGCGTGACCAAGGGAAACAAGGAGGTGGGACCACAGGAACACATGGCAAGCATAAACGAAGACAAAACAATGTGTGCAAACACAAGACAAACAAAGAAACATTAAACAATGACAACACAGACAAAGCTGCCAGGGCAGAGCCCTGACATATATATATATATACTTATATATTAATTTATTTTTTGCATTTTTATATCAACATGGAACAAGATTATCCTATTAAAATCAATGTGATAAACGAGTTAGGTCAAAAGTAATCTAAAAGTAGTCTAAAATGTGTAATGCAGTGGATTACGTTAATAATTACATTTTTGTCATGTAATTTGGAATCAGTAACGGATTACAATTATCAAGTAATCTACCCAGCTCTGATTAATGATATTTATATTGTAGACCACACTTAGTTTTCTCGTTGCATTTGCACGTCTTTATCAGCAGAAGTCCCCGGCGAGCGGAGTATTGAGCGCTTCCAAACCAGTGTTGCCAGATTGGGTGGGTTCCCGTAATCCGTAATTTATAATCATATGAATTGCATAGGCTAATTGTTTAACAAACAAGCCCAAGTATGCATGTACTGCATTCAATCAGTCATCACAATGTTACTACACACACACACTGCAGAGGCGCTGGTGCTGATGTAAACGTCGACAGCCGCACTTATCACGAGGGCTCAGCAGACAGACGTTATGATTCATGAGTGACAAGTTTTTAGCGAGATAAGTTATAACCAGGGTTTGAAATTAACACCTGCCAACCCGCCAAATGCGGGTAAAAATCAGCTGTGGTGGGTAACGCTGTCAAATCACTAACCAATTTGACGGGTTACTTTTCGTAAGTTATGTTCACTCATTAATTTCTTTGGGAAGTTCATGCAAGCCAAATCTGTGCAGGCAACTCGTGAGACATCATGACATTATCGAGTATATTGCAAAAGCTAAACAAAACACACCTACAGAGGCGTGCATTACGCGACGAGATGAAGTCTGGTTAGAGTAGACCAACACAGGCTTTAGTGCGCGTGCGCATTTAGAGTGGTTCTTTCACTGCATGATTCAGTCTATTAATATGCATTAAGAATGATCACATAATTCAAGATAAGGGGGCAAAAAATGTATATATTTATATCAATTCATATAGTTAATCATATCACACGAAGAGTGCCGTTTCTTCTTAAAAAATCAGCATGGTTACAAATGTGATATTGATTTTATATAACAGTTTAATAAACAATAAGTTAATATCAAGAGACTTACGTTTTAGACACCATATTGGCTGTTTTTGCGCTATTTCGCCAACAAAAAACATTCCAAACACAGCCACAGTACTGTTTTGCATCTCTGAGCAACATGAAGGTGTTTCGTTCCTGAATGAATCAACCGTTTAAATGATTCGGTTCAATCGCAATGACTCACTTATTAACAGTGACTTGTTGCCACCTACTGGCGGTTTTAATTTCACATTTAAAGTCTCTTTTCATCTTTTAAATAATTTCAAATATCAGTATTCAACATTTCATGTTTAAATATCGAAACATTATTTATGCATTTGTAACTGCAGTTAAAGCATCCCATGTCCCTCTAAGCTGCATGAACATGTGTAAATACATCTAAATGCCACTTCATATGCAACTTCTGCAAACATGAATTTTATTGATACTGATTT